TTGCTTGGATTTATTTGTTTCACATAATCTTTCTACTGCACTTTTACTGTCTGTAAATATTACACAGTTCTTCATTTCCTTTGTCAAAACGTGAGAAAGAGCAAACTTTAAACCCAGCATTTCGGATGTGTAGATGGAGGCCTCATCAGGTAACTTATATTTATGATGTTGTCCAGAATACTGTTGGTATACTGCGCAAGCAGTGTTATTTCCCTTTTTTGAACCATCGGTAAACATATAATAATAATTAGGCCATCTCTTCTGAATTTCTGCGTTAAACATAGCATGGAATTCGTCTTTAAAAAGACAACCACATGTCATGATGAGAGTACAATTCTCCTGTTAGTGACATAGAACTCCGTTGATGGGGTTTTAGCTATATTGAAATATAAGTCAATTTAGAGATTAGAGTAAATATTATATTAGAGTAAATAAATAAATTCTTACCCTAATAAATCGAACACGAAGGTAGCGGTTAGTCGAACTGTTTGTTAAAAAAATATGAAAAGTACGGAAAAGGATTTAATATGTAAATGACACGAAAAGAATTTTCTTAAATTTAATTTAATTTATTAATAATTTAATTAAATAAAAAAAAATTGCCGGTAGGTGAATTAATCACAGACCATCGTCCGATAGCCGACGGTTGTCTTTGTTCAATGTATGCTCAGTATGCTGTTGTATATGGACAGTTCTTCGTTTTAGTTTATGTGAGTATGAAAGTGACGTAATACATCAACTTTTTTTTGAAAACTCAATAGTATATTGTCACGCTTGTATCCCTGTTGAATTTATTTTTGAGTGAAATTATTATTTTTTAAGTATTTAGGTACGCTTAACTATAACTACATAATATAATTATCCTTAAGTCCTAATATTATTTGTTTTATATCAAACATTGTTTGATATATATGTTAAAATATAAAATAGTTATACATTTCCAAAGAAATATCGTTTTTAGTACACATTATATATCTTTTAGTTTGGGGTATGTGACATCCCAACACACGGGATATCTCAATCTAATCTACCACTCTGGCGCCGGGAATGTGTAATATTTCCTTCATTTAGATGTACGACGAAGAATTTTTAATATGTCACGAATGAACTTTTTTTAGAAGTACGCAAAACAGATAAAAAAATATTTTCTTACGATTACGGGTTTCAGTAATCGTTTACTTAATCCTCAATACATCAATTAATGCATCATACTTAAATGGATCATATCATAATGCATCAATGCAGCATGCAGGATGCAAAATGCATGTTAAACTCAATATATGCATCATAATTTATAAAAATTGTCCTTGGAAATATTCCGTTTTTATCAAAGGAAAAAATATTAACTCGGTGGTCAAACTTTTACAAGAAGAACTAAATAAAATCGAAAGTTGGTTGGTGTTTAGCTAACAAACAATGGGGTGCTAACGGAGATACATTATTACTGTATAGAAGCCTAATCCGATCAAATTGGACTACGGGTGCATTGCATATTCTTCAGCGTCGAAGTCAAATTTAAAAATCTTAGACGTTATACACAAGAATGCATTACGCATAATCTCTGGAGCTTATAGAACAACTCCTGTTGCAAGCCTCGAGTGGGAACTTGGAGAGCCATCATTACATGAACGACGAAAATTACTTAGTCTATCTTACGCTTCAAAACAATCATCACTACAACCTGACAACCATTTTCTTACTCAGTCATCGTTATCAAATATCAGTATAAGAACACATTTACCATCTCAATTAAGGATCAAAAGCATTTTAAACTCTATTGAAATTTTTAACTTTCCCTCAACACATTCAGCAAACGTAAACACGCCACCTCCCTGGTTAATACCTTTGCCTACTTTAAATTTAGAACTATCATCATATCATAAATCTGAAACTAATCCACAAATATTTATAAGCAATTATACTAGAATATTTCCTTCTTTCCCTCAATATACCCAAAACAACTTCTGGTGTAGGATCATCGTTTGTTATAAGAGACATAATAAAAAGTTTCAAATTGCTCACAGAATCCACTGTGATAACTGGAGAATTGTATGCAATATACAGAGCTCTAATTCACATACAAACAGTCAAACCAGATAAATTCCTTATTATTACTAACTCAATCAATTCCCTTCATATACTGTCAAAAATGTACACTTGCAACCCGATAGCTAAATTAATTAAAAACAAGATGCAGCAACTGGAAAACAAAACATTAGTCTTCCTGTGGGTACCATCACATATACGCATTAAAGGAAACGAACTAGCAGACAAATTCCCCAAATATCAGACCGATAATAAAACCATTAGCAGAAGATCTCAATCCGTACTTTAAACAAAAGCTGATATGTAATTGGACTAAATGTTGGGAAGAAAAATCCTTTTAACTTTGAGAATAAATTAAACCAAATTTTGGACGATGGACCAACAACGCCCCTAGCCGTTTACTTCAGGTTGTATTAACCAGGCTCCGATTAGGACACAGCAAACTCACACATAAATATCTCATGAAGAAGGAACCTCAACCAAAATGTATGAGTTGTGACGTGCCGTTAACAGTAAAACAGGTATTAACGGAGTGTCCCAAATATAGTGCTGAAAGACTAATAAAATTCCATCAGTTATAAGGGACATTTTGAGTGAGTGTACCAGTGAAAATATTGTGAAATTCTTAAAAGACTGTAGCATATTGAACCACATATAAGCATGTTATTTATTTGTTATTTGTAACTATTATTGTTTTTATTAAATTCATCCGCTAATAACCAATACGGTTGATGCGGCTGCCTTAAATAAATAAAGAAAAATATTCCGTTTTCTACAATTTGTGTCATACTTGCGTTTTGAGATTTCAGGACCGATGATTATTACTATGTAGTCGGTGGAATATCTATGAGGATTTATCTCGACTTGTTTTACCTTTTTCACATTTAATACCGTATTAAAACGAACACGTCTCCACAACTCTTAATATACTGGGTAGGCTATGACTAGAGTTCGGATTTAAAAGCATAAAGAAACGTAAAAAAGTACTAAAAAAGCATAACGATTTTAGGAAATGTTTTATTATACAAAAGAGCATGAAAATAAGCATATAAATTTTGACAAACCTTTTTTTACGAAAATTAACCTAAAACATATGACGGGTAAGGGAAAAACAAACGATGTCACAGAAGTAACTTACAGAGAAAAGTTAATTATCCAAATTTTACCAACATCTCACAAGCGTTTGACAACGTTTAGCACAGAGGTCTGCTTTACAAAGTAAAAATAGCACTATCCAGTAACTATTCCCTCCTACTTAAATCCTACATAACACATAGATACTTCTCTGTAAAATTCAAAGACCAACAATCCAACCTCTGTCCTATCAACACCGGAGTCCCGCAGGATAGTGTTCTAGGGCCGCTGCTTTTTTCACCCTACACAGCCGATATACCAGAGACTAATAATACTACAATCGCTTCCTTTGCTGACAACGTTGCAATACTAGCCGTAAATGAAGATCCCATACAAGCCTCACAAAACCTACATCATCTGAACATACTTAGTGATTGATATACGAAATGGAGAACAAAAGTAAATAAAACAAAATCAACCCAAATAACATTTACCAACCGTCACAATATATGCCTACCTGTAAGGATGGAAAATGTAAGAATACCAACAGTAACAGACGCTAAATACCTTGGCCTCCATCTTGACCAACGTCTCACTTGGAAGAAACATATCCAGACCAAAAAAAGGCAGCTCGACTTAAAATTCCGGCAAATGTATTGGCTTCTTGGACGTAAATCAAGACTTTACATCCAAAACAAAATTCTTCTATACAAAGCCATGCTCAAACCTATCTAACTCTACGGACTACACCTATGGGGCTTTGCAAAGCCAACGTCGCTGAATATGATCCAAAGATTCCAGTCTAAAGTACTAAGATCGATAGTGGATGCGCCATGGTACGTAAGTAAAACACTCCACTATGACTTAAAGGTTCCTTTCATCAGAAATCATATTACATATTTGAGATAATGATAACACGCATGGGATAATGAACATAGGGTTCAATGGAATAATTAAAATGTAGTCCTAAAAGAAACGGATGGTAAAAAAAGAAAAATCAAAGAAGCGGCTTTAATTATGCTAAATGAGGCCAATTGTGTCGCAAATTCCTCGGCAGAATTTAGTAGGATCTGGTTACCAATATTGAAAGAGGAAGTTATTAATAAGAAAATACCAGTATTAGTAAGTCAGTAACATATAGAGGATACATCATTTATGTTTTTTAAATAACGAAACATATAAAATCAGAATTTTGGTGTTTATTGATGGTAAACTAAATGCACTAACAAATACTTACCATGTCGGGATAGTATTATGAGTTTTTTTCCTGGTTTTTCCCTCATAATTTACTATGGAATCACTAACAGGAGAACTTTACTGTCATCATGTCATGTGTTTGTCTTTTTAAAGACGAATTACATGCTATGATTTTTTTCTGACGGATATTCTCAAGTTAAAGTTGATTTCATGTAATCGAATGAACTATCTTATAAGTAAAGTCGTCCCAGGAGCGCAACTCAACAATATTGGCAATATCATTTAAAGTCGTCTACTTTAAAATGCATAATGTATGTCTGAATTGTCAATATAAATGAGTCAGATAAAATTAAATTATTAGAAGAATTTTTCACTATGTAACAAAAAACAAAATTTGTTTAATTTACTGTTTGTATTTTGAGAACGATTTCCGAAGTGGAAATTAAAACGTCAATAAACGTATTTTTATCTTTAATTGTGGCTTATTCCCAGTTACATAGTAATTAATTTAAAATGCCACAAGAAAATAGCTTCAGAATAACACTATTTTATGTCTAAATTGACCGGATTATAACTTTGAATAAGAAATATTATTTGATTTATTATTTTACATTTTCTATGGGGCCACCACGTATTATTTCTGATGGTAAATTTATTTTACTATATATAATATTTTTTTCCAGAGTTGGGAACTTCTGTAACAAGATCAGGAGGAGACTACGCTTACATATATGTTGCATTTGGCCCACTGGGAGCGTTTCTTATGTTATGGATTTCATTGCTTATCATAAGACCAACAACACAAGCTATTGTTGCTATAACATTTGCGGAATATGCTGCCAAACCATTTTTCCCGGAGTGCAAGCCACCTGAAAATGCTATCAGATTGTTAGCAGGTGTTTGTTTATGTAAGTATTAATTATTTAACGAATTAATAGATATTGCACAACTTTGTGTATTTTCTTAACCCCTCACTGCATAATTTTTTATTTTTCCCTACAAGTTTGCAGACTGGATTTTGAAAAATATAAGTGTTGTTTATGAACAACATTATGCAAATGAGGATATACATTTAGGAAAAATGAAAATTTTTTAAAACAGTTCTTCGTTTTAGTGAAGTAAAGTGCTACACCACACTTTTCGCACAACACATGTGCATATCCATTGCACTGTGGGAATTTGCATTTTATTTGTTTTTCGGACCATATAGAACAATGGTTTTTTGTCCTGTACATTGACTTGAAGGTTTGGACCGTTATCTCCTCACGCTGGTCCAGTGCGACTCACACGACTCACAATTGTGATGGGAAATTTCAACGCCAAGCTAGGACAAAGACTAAATGACGAAGAAACAAAAATAGGAAAATATGGATATGGTGTATGAAACGAAAGAGGGACAACCCAGATGAACTACATGGAGGAAAGGAAACTCTACGCCATGAACTCCTTTTTCAACAAGAAGCCACAGAGAAAATGGACCTGGATAAGCCCTGACACCAAAACTAAGAACGAGATCGACTACATATAATCAACACAAAAATACGTAGTCAAGGATGTCACAGTGCTAAACCGTTTCACAACAGGCAGCGATCACCGAATGGTGAAGGCTAAGATACAAATTAATAGCCAATTTGAAACCAGAAAGAAAATCAAAAACGTACAAAAACTAGATATGGAGAAACTCAGCCAAAACGAAGAAAAGTACAAAGAAGAAATAAAAAAATGCATCCCAAATACAACCGACTTAATAAATAAAGAAACAAGCGAAATAAATGAAATACTAACAACTACATTGCTACAGGCCAGGGAAAGAATTGCAAAATCGACGACAAAAAAGGACAATTATATCTCAGAAGAAGTAGAAAACCTGATGAAGACAAGAAGAAGCCTACTTGAACAGAACAAAAGAAACACAGTAGAATAGAGACCAATGGAGATTAACAGGAGAGGCCTATGTCCAAGAGTGGGCGTTTAAGGCTGATTAGATAGATAGATAGATAGTACGTTTACTATTATCGACTTTAAATTTCCTTAAATGTCTCCTGATTGCCTTCGAAACAGTTTTATTCATTTCTCTTAGAGTGTGACTGTCTGCATTCTTCTCATAACAACCATATTGTAAAAAAAATTTCTTCGTATCTTTAAACTTTCAACTTGTATAAATTCTATACAAAATAATAATAAATGTAATCATGCAGGAGGTACAAAATCATATTCGTCATATTCTGATATAAGACATTATGTTAATAAACTTATCATTACATTGTTAAATTGTAACTATTCAAGAGAGACGTATCCACTTCATTTCGTAAATTTATCCAATTTTCTGCTTGTGACAAGTTTAATCAGACTAACAAGTTTAATCTATGATTCGAAGCAGTCTCCGGAAAATCGAGATTTATGTTGAATAGGCAATTAATGACCCTTAGAATAAACTTCAAACTCATCTCTCAAACATCGTCAAAGATGAATAAATGTAAAACTAGTCAAATTTTGAGGGAACAATAGTCCTTATAGTAACTTTAGATAAATATTGATTTTTAATATTTGATTGTGTTCTATTCTCTTTCAGGTCTGTTAACTGCCGTCAACTGTTTGAGTATTAGATGGGCCATGAGAATCCAGGGTGTATTTACTTACGCTAAGATTTTGGCTCTAGTGGGCATTATAATAATGGGAGTGTATCACTTAGCAAGTGGTAAGTCTGTAAGTTTGTCAATGTTTCTAAAGCGTATTAAAAATATAATTTTAAAAATCACATAAACATGTCATATAATAATGATATTATAAATAACACTGGGAACAATTTGATAAACAAATTTCTGTGAAGTTTGACTTTTAAGCTGTTCTATAGGTTCTGAAGCTATATTCTTGTGGCATTTTAAATTAATTACTATTTAACTGGGAATAAGCCACAATTAAAGATAAATATACGTTTATTGACGTTTCAATTTCCACTTCGAAAATCGTTCTCAAAATACAAACAGTAAATTAAACAAATTTTGTTTTTTGTTACATAGTGAAAAATTCTTCTAATAATTTAATTTTATCTCACTCATTTATATTGACAATTCAGACATACATTATGCATTTTAAAGTAGACGACTTTAAAATGATATTGCCAATATTGTTGAGTTGCGCTCCTGGGACGACTTTACTTATAAGATAGTTCATTCGATTACATGAAATCAACTTTAACTTGAGAATATCCGTCAGAAAAAATCATAGCATATAATTCGTCTTTAAAAAGACAAACACATGACATTATGACAGTAAAATTCTCCTGTTAGTGATTCCATAGTAAATTATGAGGGAAAAACCAGGAAAAAACCTTATAATACTATCCCGACATGGTAAGTATTTGTTCGTGCATTTAGTTTACCTTCAATAAACACCAAACTTCTGATTTTATATGTTTCGTTATTTAAAAAGCATAAATGGTGTATCTTCTATATGTTACTGACTTACTTATACTGGTATTTTCTTATTAATAACTTCCTCTTTCAATATTGGTAACCAGATCCTATTACATTCTGCCGAGGAATTTGCGACACAATTGGCCTCATTTAGCATATTTAAAGCCGCTTCTTTGATTTTTCTTTTTTTACCATCCGTCTCTTTTAGGACTACATTTGAATTATTCCATTGATCCCTATGTTCATTATCCCATGCGTGTTTACATATTTGAGATCTATCAAATTCTCTATTTTTAATATAAGACTGATGTTCACTTATTCTAACATTTAATGGCCTTGATGTTTCACCTAAATAAAACTGATCGCATTCACAAGGTATTTTATAAATGCAATTCTTTGTCCTTTCTTGTTCATTGTTATGTTTGGTTTTGGACAAAATAGATCTCAACGTGTTTGTTGTTTTGAATGTTGTTGAAATGTTGAATTTATTGCCTATCCTTTTAAGTTTTTCTGATAATCCTTTTATGTACGGTATTGTTATTTTCCTCGTATTATTCCTTGTGTATGCTGTAGGATCTCGTTCTAAAATGTTCTGTTCTATTTGATCGATTGTTGAAAATTCCTTATTTATAAACGATAAAGGATAATCATTTTTTAATAAAACAGATGTTAACAAATGTTTCTCCTCCAAGAACGAATTTTCGTTAGAACAAGTAATTTTGGCTCTCTCGTATAAAGATTTAATTATTCCCTTTTTTACATTAATATTGTGATTTGATTTGAAATTTAAATATCTATTGGTGTGTGTTGGTTTTCTATACACCTGAGTCTCATATCCAGTATCGTTCTTAGAGATTAAAACATCCAGGAAAGGTAGCGTGTTATTATATTCCTTTTCCATGGTAAATGTTATTATCTCTTCTTTATCGTTTATATCATTTAGGAATGTGTCCAACAACTCAACCATGAGGCCATATTGAGAATACATCATCTACATACCTCCGCCATACTGTGGGTTTTAAATTTTGTTTAGAAATGATATTCGTTTCAAAATTATCCATAAATATATCGGCTAAGAATGGAGATAAACTAGAGCCCATTGCTAGACCAAAATTTTGTTTATAGAATTCATTATTTAGTTGAAAATATGTATTATCAGTACATAATGTTAATAACTCCATTATAGCCGATATGTTTAGTCTGCTTCTAGTTGCCAATGAATCATCACTCTCTAATTTTGTCTTGACTATACTTAAAGTCTTATTTAATGGCACATTCGTAAATAAACTATTTATGTCAAAACTTACCAAAGTATTATTTGAGTTAAATTCAATATTTGATAATTTATTTAAAAAATGTTGTGTATATTTTATGAATGTGTCATTTTTATTTGTAAATGGTTTTAAAATATTTAATAAAAATTTTGATAGTTCACTACAAGGAGAATTCATGATACTACAAATGGGTCTAAGTGGTGTATTCGTTTTATGAATTTTCGGTACTCTATAAAAATGAGGAGTCTTACTGTAATGAGGTGTAATTAATCCTCTCTGATAACTTGTTAAAAAATCTTTAAACTTGAATAAAGTTCTATATATTTTGTTTTCCAAAGGCTTTGTTGGATCTTTTGTTAATTTTTTGTGGAAATTGAAACGTCAATAAACGTATTTTTATCTTTAATTGTGGCTTATTCCCAGTTAAATAGTAATTAACTAAACTGTATTAGTTTTTCTTTACCACGTTAATTTTTTTCTCTGCCTCACAATCTAGCATTGATTCTAGGAAGCGCACTAGTTCTCTCCTATTGGCTGATACTAACTTTCTCCGATAGATGGAATGTAATCAGCAAGAGTTGAATGACTTAGTGCGAAGAAGAATTGCATTTTTGCATTACTTTTCAAAGTGATAATGGATACAAGATTCATCAGAGCGAATGGTGCGGAAGCCCGGAACGGGAAATCAATTTTTTTACCTCATATATATATATATATATATATATATATATATATATAACACTGTTTTTGATGGGTTGGAGTCAATAAAAGGGCTATTTGGTGACTATTTTTTACTCGAGCTTTCAATTGTTATTACAATTTTTATCAAGAGCTTCTAAAAAATACAAAATGTCTTACAAAGTTGAACTAGAAATAAAAAATTTTTTGTTAACTCACCATTTTATATAAAAAACTAATTTTATTTGGTGAGTTAACAAAAAAAAAAAAAAATTTTATTTCTAGTTCAACTTTGTAAGACATTTTGTATTTTTTAGAAGCTCTTGATAAAAATTGTAATCACAATTGAAAGCTCGAGTAAAAAATAGTCAACAAATAGCCCTTTTATTGACTCCAACCCATCAAAAACAGTGTTATATTTTTTCCAAACGAGTCACAAGTACTTCTTTTTTCTTACTCTTATAATATATATATATATATATATATATATATATATATATATATATATATATATATATAAATATATATAAATATATATAAATATATATATATATATATATATATATATATATAAATATATATATAATATATATAATATATATATATATATATATATATATATATATATAATGTATATGTAATCTATCTTCGACAGAGCATAGCGAAGAATCGTGTCTATCGCAGTGTGTCAACAGGGATGACACTGTAAGGCTTTGACATTTGACAAAGTCGGACAGAAACGGCCCCTGCTCCTGCGATAAGAGAAACATCAAGAGCAACCCTCCCTGAGAAATCAGGGAGTGAAGAACCGCGTAGGTTCCTGGGATGGCACCCAACAACCGTTCTGACAGCGGCCAGCTCGGTGGATATAAAACGGAGTCGTTTAAGTAGATATCCTAAATTTCTCGAACAACTACTATTCATGGCCGTAAGGCATCCATGGGTGACAATCCCCCCCCCCCGCAAGCTCCGACACGCAAGTGCCGGAGCAAGAAGAAGAAGAAGAAGGCGGCATCCCGTCGTCCACCCTCCAGGTCGCTATTTCAAATTTAATTAATTTAGCAGATAACCAAACCGAAAATAATAATATAACTAATAACACGAATCAAAAACGAAGACGAGGATACAGAGGACATGAGAAGAAAGCGAAACCATTCCGACTTGGAATCCGAAGAGGAGGAAGCAAAACGGATTAAAGAAATGGAAAAAGAGAATGTAGAGAAAATGGAAAAAGCGGAAATACTCTGTACCATTGAAAAACTGAATAAAGCCATCATACTTCAACAAGAAAATTACAACAAGAATATGGAAAACTTCAGATGAAGGAGATGCAAAGAATTATTCAGGAAAAAGACCAAGGAAATAAATGGTTAACACATAAAATTCTGGCCTTAATTGAAAAAAATAACAAGAAGGAGGCAAAACTTGAAAAATAAAAGGGAAAAAAGACTGAGGATCCGGCGAAAAAAAAAACGGATTTAAAATCTAAATCCAAGAAAGAGACAAAGGCAACCCAAAATGAAAAGTCGAAGATTCAAGTAATACCAATAACGAAGAAACACGAAACAGCAGATGACATGTAGACTGATAAGCCGAATGGCAAATATATTGCATCAAGAAAAGATCGAACAAACCTCACACAGAGGAAGTGGTCACAATCAGCGTTGCGGAAAAGCAAACTGCGTGTGTGCTTAGAAACAAGTTCTACTCGAACATTAGAAAAAGCAGAACTAATCTGCCTTGACAATGACCTTGACGAAATGTCGTGATATATGACAGGTGGTTAGGTGGTAGGTTTCTTCTTTGTCATAGAATGTATGTTTAACATCCTCTTCTTTGTTGGTGCATGTACATTTACGAGACCTATTAAAACACTTATTTGACATTGGTTAAAATAATGAGTTCATTTTTCCTTTCCTATCTTTTCATATTTTTGCTTTTATTTCTTTTTATCTGATATGTTGAAAAAATTGCATATTTTCTTTATAATTTTTCATTCTTCCTTTGCCCATTCTGTGGGTGCAGGTGCATTTAATATGCTTACGTTTCATTTTTTGCTTTTCAGCTTTATGGATAATAATCTATCTATAAGGATAATGTTAATAAATCTATTTCTATTACATTGTTTTCTCCTTGTAATTTACAAATTTTTTACATTTAAATGTGGATATGTGTCTCCAGACAAAGTTTTAAATAAAATTTCTGAAGATATATGCTTTGTTTTTGTGTTCTTACAATGGATTTAGAGATAAAACATTATATTAATATTTTATTTTTACCAATTAATTGTACTAATTTCACAAGAGATTGTAAAAGCATAAACTTCTTAT